TGTGTGTGTGTGTGTGTGTGTGTGTGTGTGTGTGTGTGTGTGTGTGTGTGTGTGTGTGTGTGTGTGTGTGTGTGTGTGTGTGTGTGTGTGTGTGTGTGTGTGTGTGTGTGTGTGTGTGTGTGTGTGTGTGTGTGTGTGTGTGTGTGTGTGTGTGTGTGTGTGTGTGTGTGTGTGTGTGTGTGTGTGTGTGTGTGTGTGTGTGTGTGTGTGTGTGTGTGTGTGTGTGTGTGTGTGTGTGTGTGTGTGTGTGTGTGTGTGTGTGTGTGTGTGTGTGTGTGTGTGTGTGTGTGTGTGTGTGTGTGTGTGTGTGTGTGTGTGTGTGTGTGTGTGTGTGTGTGTGTGTGTGTGTGTGTGTGTGTGTGTGTGTGTGTGTGTGTGTGTGTGTGTGTGTGTGTGTGTGTGTGTGTGTGTGTGTGTGTGTGTGTGTGTGTGTGTGTGTGTGTGTGTGTGTGTGTGTGTGTGTGTGTGTGTGTGTGTGTGTGTGTGTGTGTGTGTGTGTGTGTGTGTGTGTGTGTGTGTGTGTGTGTGTGTGTGTGTGTGTGTGTGTGTGTGTGTGTGTGTGTGTGTGTGTGTGTGTGTGTGTGTGTGTGTGTGTGTGTGTGTGTGTGTGTGTGTGTGTGTGTGTGTGTGTGTGTGTGTGTGTGTGTGTGTGTGTGTGTGTGTGTGTGTGTGTGTGTGTGTGTGTGTGTGTGTGTGTGTGTGTGTGTGTGTGTGTGTGTGTGTGTGTGTGTGTGTGTGTGTGTGTGTGTGTGTGTGTGTGTGTGTGTGTGTGTGTGTGTGTGTGTGTGTGTGTGTGTGTGTGTGTGTGTGTGTGTGTGTGTGTGTGTGTGTGTGTGTGTGTGTGTGTGTGTGTGTGTGTGTGTGTGTGTGTGTGTGTGTGTGTGTGTGTGTGTGTGTGTGTGTGTGTGTGTGTGTGTGTGTGTGTGTGTGTGTGTGTGTGTGTGTGTGTGTGTGTGTGTGTGTGTGTGTGTGTGTGTGTGTGTGTGTGTGTGTGTGTGTGTGTGTGTGTGTGTGTGTGTGTGTGTGTGTGTGTGTGTGTGTGTGTGTGTGTGTGTGTGTGTGTGTGTGTGTGTGTGTGTGTGTGTGTGTGTGTGTGTGTGTGTGTGTGTGTGTGTGTGTGTGTGTGTGTGTGTGTGTGTGTGTGTGTGTGTGTGTGTGTGTGTGTGTGTGTGTGTGTGTGGTGTGTGTGTGTGTGTGTGTGTGTGTGTGTGTGTGTGTGTGTGTGTGTGTGTGTGTGTGTGTGTGTGTGTGTGTGTGTGTGTGTGTGTGTGTGTGTGTGTGTGTGTGTGTGTGTGTGTGTGTGTGTGTGTGTGTGTGTGTGTGTGTGTGTGTGTGTGTGTGTGTGTGTGTGTGTGTGTGTGTGTGTGTGTGTGTGTGTGTGTGTGTGTGTGTGTGTGTGTGTGTGTGTGTGTGTGTGTGTGTGTGTGTGTGTGTGTGTGTGTGTGTGTGTGTGTGTGTGTGTGTGTGTGTGTGTGTGTGTGTGTGTGTGTGTGTGTGTGTGTGTGTGTGTGTGTGTGTGTGTGTGTGTGTGTGTGTGTGTGTGTGTGTGTGTGTGTGTGTGTGTGTGTGTGTGTGTGTGTGTGTGTGTGTGTGTGTGTGTGTGTGTGTGTGTGTGTGTGTGTGTGTGTGTGTGTGTGTGTGTGTGTGTGTGTGTGTGTGTGTGTGTGTGTGTGTGTGTGTGTGTGTGTGTGTGTGTGTGTGTGTGTGTGTGTGTGTGTGTGTGTGTGTGTGTGTGTGTGTGTGTGTGTGTGTGTGTGTGTGTGTGTGTGTGTGTGTGTGTGTGTGTGTGTGTGTGTGTGTGTGTGTGTGTGTGTGTGTGTGTGTGTGTGTGTGTGTGTGTGTGTGTGTGTGTGTGTGTGTGTGTGTGTGTGTGTGTGTGTGTGTGTGTGTGTGTGTGTGTGTGTGTGTGTGTGTGTGTGTGTGTGTGTGTGTGTGTGTGTGTGTGTGTGTGTGTGTGTGTGTGTGTGTGTGTGTGTGTGTGTGTGTGTGTGTGTGTGTGTGTGTGTGTGTGTGTGTGTGTGTGTGTGTGTGTGTGTGTGTGTGTGTGTGTGTGTGTGTGTGTGTGTGTGTGTGTGTGTGTGTGTGTGTGTGTGTGTGTGTGTGTGTGTGTGTGTGTGTGTGTGTGTGTGTGTGTGTGTGTGTGTATGTGTGTGTGTGTGTGTGTGTGTGTGTGTGTGTGTAAGCACGCGCGCGCGTATGTGTGCGTGTGTGATGAGTGAGTACAGTAAGAGTTTGAGCTATATATACTCTCACGTGCACACTTCATCCTGTTGTCACAAGAGCACCTCTCTAAGTGGTTGCATGCCAGGGCTGCTGATATGTCGGTGAGCGATTGGGTGTGGGATTTGTGACAGTGAGTGATCTTGTATGTGAGTATGTTTGACTGATCTGATAAATGATTGTATGTGAGTGTGCTTGAGTGATCCATTGACTTGTGTGTGTGAGTGTATTTGAGTGATTTCTTAGATGAGTATCTATGAGTGTGCTTAAAGAAAAACGTTATTCAAGTGTGTGACTGTGTTTGAGTGATAAGTTGGAGAAGTGCAGGCTTCATTTCTATCCAACAAACCCGACTTCTGGGTTTCTAGTTTGTTGTTTACTTTGCAAACTAGCTTTTGGGTCATTGGTGACATCAGATCACATCCCCATAGCTTGCGTTCGAAAATACCACTTGCTGAGACTAGATAGGGATCCCGACCTCTTCGATTCAATTATGACAGGTATGAGCTCAAGAAATTAGAGTGAGAGGATAATATATATGGTGGTCAAGCACCACAATGTGGAAACGCAATGAATTTTACTCCAAAAATCATACCGGTGTGTTACATTTGTAATTTCCACTTGATGTTATAACTGAAGGATCGTAGTGGATAGGATAATGCTACTAAGGATACATTCCGCGCTGGACATGTCCCAATCGAAAGTGTCTCAATCGTTTCTACCACACTGCATCGTATTACACCAAATTGCACCCTAGTTTTGAAATTTTCGCGTCACTGGTTTAGTTCGGTTCAGAGCGGTACATTCGATTGGGATACATCGATTGGGACAGTATCCACAGCGGAGTGTACCCTAAGTATAAGAGAGAGAACTGAGAAGTCATTGTAGTGACCTTGTTAAAGACTTGAGAGAACAAGATGATTATAAGATAGAAGTACAAAGATATAAATAGCGATCCTAGCTAGCCATGTACTCTGAGGGGCTGAATTACATTGCTACAATAACCATGACTATTGCCATTCTAGACAGTTACCATGTTGCACTTCGTAACTGCCTTGTGCGGTTACTGGACACTCAAGGGTCACGTCCGTTGACTGTCTTCGACTGTTGACATTCGGGTGACCCTCGACCTTCCGTGTGCTCTATGTGAGCTAATGCGGTACTGGTACCGGCGCCTGCTTCGCTATGAAGTGACGCGACAGTGGAGAGCCTTTGGGAATGCTTATAATAACCTTTCGGTTATTTCAACACACTCGTGCTTTTGCGATTACCACTCTTTGAGTTTAATCCTCATGGAGCATTTACCTTAATTGATTATTTAGCTACGGTATGTATTTATTATTTACGTCGTGTAGTTCATATAACTCAGTTCTGTCAGACTCCCCGCATCTCACGGCGATTCAAACAGTTCCGTGGTTGTTTGGCACAAGAGGAAATTGCTTTCCAGGGTAATGTGCAAGAAGTGGCGGTTGATCAAGGGTAGAACGGTCCACGAAAACTACATTGTAAGGAAGTTCTATAAATCCTAAACTTCTCACGATCGGTCCATGGATTGAAGTGATCCTTTCCAAACAACCGAGCGTCTTGGTGCTGTGTGACGTCGTAGCTAGCACTTCCATTCCGACTTCGACACTACCACTTACTGAAACTGGAAACGGGTTTGGACTTCCCACAGGTTTCAGCTCGGGCACTCAGGGTGAAAGAGAAATGTGTACGGCTGGTGAAACACCGGCTTGTGAACGCGATCATATTTTATCATAACCGTTTGCGACTCAAGAAAACCTATTCGTATCCATAGTTAACGCACTAGAAGCGTGCATAACACACCACACCACCCAAGATCCACTTCGTATTCAAGCGACTCATCCAAATGAAATATGGATGGAACGCGTTTCACCGAACTTCTGGATTGTGATTCGCTGAGGAAAGCGATTCGCGATGGTGACCACGCCGAGCATGAGACATTCCGTTTCAACTGAATCAGTCACATCCACCACACAATCCGCGCTCTCACGCCATACAAATACCCACACCTTTTCTTTCCCAACGCCAGTCCCACACTTCGAAGCTCGTCATTCACTGGCTTCCAACTCACTGCATCCTCTCGCTAGCTACTAGTATTTATCATGGCGCGCCTGCTTACTGCTCTCGCTCTCCTGCTTGCCTTCACCGTCACTCTCGCATCATTTGCTGCTGCTTCTCGATCTGTTCGGGTTCCTGGCAATGGGATGACAGCCGACGGTAAGTTGCAGAACTGTGCGATGGCATGTCGGTGATGGCATGTCGCATACCCGGTCTGGCACGTCGCAGACCCGTGCGATGGCACGTCACAGATCGGTGCGAAAATAAGTCGCATATCCGAGCGCATTTCAAGAACCCATGCTGATAAAGGCTTTAAGAAGCGTGAACGACAATGAAAGGCACTCGTGTACCTGCACCATTGTTGCTTCCTCACTCCCACTGCCACCTCTCTCAACTTCCCCCACCTCCCCCATCCCCCATTCTCACCGTGCCAAGCGGCAACGTTGCCGCTAAACGCTGCACCACTCCAGCGACTTGTACTCCAGCCATTCACTCTCAAGAGTTACCTCTCAAGAGAGACACGCTCTGCACGGTCCATCGCTTCTCCCTCTGCACACCCCTGCATCCGACCAAGCTTCACGTCCCCACCCACCGACCATGCCTCACGTCCCCACGCTGCGGGAAAAAGGTGCCACTCATTCCTTTTTCCCAAAGCCCCTCACCCCTTCGCCCTGTCTCTTCCTCCCCTGCGCGAATCTATGTGTCGGCATGGCGCGGCGGCAGGTGCATCGGGAGCGGTAGACACCGCCGGCGACGCCATCACGGCAGAGAGCGCGCCGATTTTTGCTGAGCCCGCGGGTGACGAGCAGGGTCGCCGAAAACTCCAGACGACTAGTAAGAATGACCAAGCCAAGTCCCCACATGTTTTTGTTCCTGCGGTTATTTTTGCTTTTGTTTCTCTATTATTTCCTGCTGCTACTGAAACACAAGGAGCTGGTGATTTCGTGCTGCCCATAAGGCCAGGCAGCACTGACAGCTTACGACCGGATGGTTGTAAGGGGCAAGCAGGGTGCACCCTAAAGCAGCTTATATTTGAGGGGAATCTCGGCCGTTCACTTGCTCCTGCCTCCCTTGATGTCGCTCATTCTCAGGCGGCCTTTTCCCAAAGTGAAGAATTCGACTCAACAGACTCCCCTTTGCTGTCACCCTTTTGCAGTATCGGATTGCCATGACGCGATTAGACGGAATTGCGACGAGAATCAGTTTCTTTTCTGGAAATGGGCAAAGAATGCCAAGGCTAAGAAGGAATGCCAGGATCAAGTTGCGAGAACGCTTGCAGATTGCAAAAAATTCGGCTTTTGGTGAGTAGGAGATGCATGTAGGTGCCTGGGCTATGCTTGTTGGTGCCTGGGCTATGCTTGTTGGTGCCGGGGCAATTATTTTGTTGGTAAGGTGCAATCATATTATTGGGACTGAGTCGTGCCATCGTCTCCCCACCGTGTCCTTCTCTCCGCAGATCCACCAGCCGCGCGGGTCCGATGTCAAGACTGGGAGCGTGTAATAGTGGCGGGGAAAAGACGAGGAGCCCTCTGCTTGCTGCAATGGATGTTAGCCTTGTGGTGTGTGTACAATATGTGGGTGATTGTGGGTATTCTGTATTCTCGTAGATGGGTGCTTGGGTGCCTGGATGTCAATCAGTAACACAGCGTATCAGTGATTGTAACAAACTCTTTTCACCTAGTATGACTCCTTGAATCCTTGTGCTGCATGATCTGCTCAAGCAGCTAATACATACATACGTTGTATCGTATGGTAGCCTCAGGCTACTAGGAAGGTAACAAAATCGATATGCTCGCCCCAACTGACATGCGATTCCCAACTTACGCAATGCAGTCGCCTCGCAGGTTGGTTTCGGCACTGCGCAGGTTGACTGCAGGGTGGTTCTGTTGCCCCACAATTACCCCCCCGCATTGAAAGCCGACTGACAGGACTCCCGAAATCGGGAGTCACCAGGAAGGCTTCCAGCTAACTGCTGGAAGCCTCAGTTCTACGTGCGATGCTCGAGCATGATCACTTCTAGCCGCTTCGGTAACTTCGCCAACAGCGCGGCTATTTCAGCGGCTGGAGCGACGAGAGTCGCGAGAGGCGACAGTCGACGAGTAAGTATTCCCTAGAATATTAGAATCCGATTCGTCATCGCACCTTTTCCTGAGTATTCCCGCCAATATCTGGAAGTCAGGTTCGTATGTGCCTGACAGTTGGGTTCTCGATGTTGGTGCGAAATACTGGGTAGCGATTGCATGGAAACACAGTGTGCTTGAAGTGTTCGAGAATGCTGGAGCTTCGCCAACCACGGGCAGACTGCTGGGAGTCACGCGAAATGTTGCCATGTCAGCAGGGTTTGGATGGAATGTTGTTACATGTCATTTCGTAACATTTCATTATTTGTACTAGGGTCTAAAAACGGATAAAAGTTGACTCCCTTTAGAGTCACAAAAGATACGACACTATGGAATCAAATTTGGAATAGATACATCCGTTATACTCAAAACTTGGTACACCAATTTACGCACGCACGTAAACCAATTTCTCACATGCTAATTTCTAATCGCTATATGCAATAAATTCGGCTAGATTAAAAAATCAAAATATCATTAAAAAGGCACAACATTTTACCTACGCCAATTGAGGACACACACTTCACCGAAATCATAATGACCAGCTATAAGAGGAATATTGGCCCTGTCAATCCACCGCTCAATCTGGGCCTTCCTGATGTCCATTTCCCGCTTGTTTGATGACTGTTCCGAATGCAGACTACTCATGCTTGTGATCATGCTGTTCTCAACCTGGCGGACAACACTAAGAGTTGATCAGTACAGAAGAGGAGCTTTGCATTTAATACATAAACAGTTCAAACCACTCACCGCATACAGGATGTAGCAGACTTGATCGATCGTGAGCGCAACATCTTCGGGGGGTTCCTTGTACCACGCACTGGCGGCGGTGATAAAGGCTGGGCTAGCTAGGGGATTTTCACCCAGAGCATGCCATGGCAGGCCAAACAAATCTGCAGCGACCAAAAAAGAAAAAATTAGAGTAGTCACAAATAGTGAAATCAGCACATCAGTAACTCACCACAAAGGTAGTTCGTAGCGTAGTTCCGTCGAGAGTCGACGTCATTCGGGACGACTTTGTCAAGAGGATCTTTGAGAAGAGCATATGCACACTGCCGAAATTTGGTGCTAAGCTTCCCTCTCCTGCCATTGCAAAGAGTTATCATTTTATCGCCCCAATTTTTGTTCTTAAAATCAGAGTTGAACCTAGCAGCCTCTTCGACCTGCACATCTAGCACATCAGACAAAACGGCCTTGAACTCTTCGGGGGATGGATAGATCCTCCGATTCTCGAGCTTAGCACCGTTCAACAGCGTGTCAAACACTTCGCCAAACTTCTCCTGCAGCGAAGAGCAACGGAAGAGTTTGTTAGCTTGATGTTGGAAAGCATTGATGCGAAAACGGAACGGTTAACGAATCGGTTAACTAAACACACCTGGACTTGAACATCAGACCCCCAGCTAGGTAGATTGATGTTTTTGGAGAGTTCGGTGACGATTTTGAGGAGGGCTCGTTGTGTTTCTTCGGTGTGCCGAAGCCTCTCGTTGACGCTGTCGAGCGTATCCACAATGGTGGCGAGTGTAACGCGAATTGAGGCCTCCAGCAGGTTGAACGTGTTAGCTTCCCGATGATACACGTTCTGGTCTGAGGAGATTGGGGTCCCTGAAAAAGAAAACAAACAACTAAACGGTTTAGTAAAGTGAACCACACAAGAAGAAAACCACTAGTTTTCGTGGGTTGAAAAGGGATAGTACCTGTGCGGACGACGGCGAGGTCGGACCCTGAGGCGGCAAGGTTGTCGTGAGAGCCGTCCTCCTGAGAACCTATCACGTTCTCTGCGCTGACGTTCGTTGCAGTAAATCCAACTACGGTAGTACCATTAGTTACCACGGCTGAATCACTTGCAACCGTTGGAGGACCGCTTGCGGCAGGTGCAGGACTACCAACCAAGGGAGCAGGGTTGACTGGTGTACCTGCCTGAGTAGTTTTCTGTGCTTTGCTTAACTCTCCATGTGCTACTGCTCGCCCGCATGAACCAGGGTACTCTGTTTCGTAATTACGAAACCTAGCAGGGATGTTCTTCTTCCTCTTGGCACGACCCTCCAGAAACTCACGAGGGAGTTCAGCCATGAGGGGACGAGGATCCGCTGGTGAAGAGAGAGTGGGGACAGCGATGGAAACGAAAGGTCGGGATTGATGGCTGTGGGGCAGTACTATTTTTTTTTATAATTACCCCGTCCAAAGCACTTAACACCAGGAATAGCGGGAGCACACATGGCATATGGTACAGAGCAGGGAAGTAAAGGCTACCCGTTGGCTTCTACCGTTGTGATTCTTTTTAGGCGGGATACTGTGAGCACAAGCGGTGCGTGAAAGTGTCTGTTAATGTGGCTACTGGCGAATTTGCGACCAAAAGGGCATGGCGCGGTTTCCCCAACGGTACAGAAAGTTGTGTATTTTCTGACTCGGTTTAGCAAAACGGAATGAGGTCGGAATGACGTGGACAGAAGACGTCGGTGTTTCTGGACTTTAGCGAACTGCCGATCAGATCGGACGGGCAGATACATCACACGTTTTTTTTTGTTCGACATCTTTTTTGAGTCGAACAGAAGAATGTTTAGAAGGTTCTGCAATTCCGCACCGTGCAATCACGCAACAAAATACATTGACCCTGCCCACATTTTGATCGATGCACATACATGTCAACAGTCAGAAACATCCAGCTGTCAACGCTGCACATCGATGGTGGGCTCTTTTGTCGCGCAACTAGCCAGCAGGGCAAACTGAGTCGACTTTGCGAAGCACAGAGTCAGAGTGTTGCTACAGTTTCGCGCCTGTTTTTTCGCATAGCGCCTCGGCTAGCCAGCAAGGCAACAACTCACCGGAAGTCTTGGTGCAGAAATCCAGCCGAAACTGTAATGTACGCTGTACCAAGCCCACAGACCAACTGCCAACTTGCTGGCACAAAGAGACAACACGAAAGTGATAGTGCTGCCAAACAGTGCCGCAGCTAACAATCGAGTGAGCTGTGTTAAAAAAAAAAAAAAACAATCAAGAAACCGATTTCGTCACCACGACCTAGTTTATCGAGAGTTTAAATTTCAGCGTAAACATATGATTCGCACCTCGCACGGCATAACATTTCCATTGTTTAGCAAAACAGTGTCGCAGTTACGACATTGAAATCCTCGCAGGTCCGCGTGAGAAAACAAACAGATTTGAATGAACAACAAATGCTCTTCACAGAATGGTTCGCTAAGAATAGGGCTAATTTGGTCCGCATGGGTTTCCTACTGATTATGAAAGGGGTGCAACGATTGTGAAAGGCTGCATACGATTAAACAAAAACCAGTGAAGATCAGGAGTTTTTCAGTAGAATTTGAACTTATTGAGCACAAACTTATCCCCAGCAATAGGAACCACATGAGCCACCCTCAAAATACTGTCAATCTCCACCACCTGATACTCATTATCCGGTTCCTCCCACCTTAGCACAGGACAATGGGATGCATGCACCTCGTCGGTAACGCGGTAGAACCTAACGAACGCACGCTCCTTCTGGTCCGACAATTTTGCTGCTGGATCCTTTGGTGCAACTACGAACAAGAGCAGCAACCGCGCATACCAGATCACATCCTTGGGCTTCCTCGTGCCATCCGGTAACACTTCCACCTCAGATCCCAAAACAGCAACATCACTGAACCAAGGTGCCTTCATGAACATTGGAGTTGCCCGCACATAGTGCGTTTGACTAGAATACTTTGTGAAGTCCTCATCACCTGGTATAGCCAAGCCCTTTCTGACTTGGATTTCGTTGCTTAGTTCAACGCCATCGGCTTGTCGTTGTGACAACAAGGCGCGGAGCTGCAACATGTCGCTAGGTGCTGCTGTTTCGTATTCCCGCCAAAGATCGCCGCCAACAACTCGAGAGTCCCTCCAGTTCACCTTGTGCGACGTGGCCACGAGTGTGTTTCTCCTAGTTTCCATGGCCTGCGGTCGGGATTGGGGTGCACTTGTTATAAAACAGAGAGAAGATGGTTAGAAGCAATTTAGAGGACTATGTTATACCGTGCATCATCTACCTTTTGTAGGGCGACCATTCGATGGTGCGAATCCTCCTTGTTGTGGTCCGAGTCATCAAGAGCTTGCAGCATTCGTGCCATGACACTATGCTTCACGATTTGAGGCATAGCGTCACGTTTGTTGCTTGCACGGTATGCCTTCTTTACGAGAGGTTGGTGAAAAAACTCGAACATGTTGGCGTTGTAGTGAACGGGGACACCGGAGCGTCGAATGTCATCGACCAAATGCACAAGGCCGTGCACCTTGCCGATGTTGAATTCGGATGCTTGAAATTCGCCAAACACATCCTTCAACATTGGAATCAATCTGACAAGAGACGAGAGGGAGGAGAAAGGGAGGAGAGAGATGGGAGTGAGAAGGG